TGTATGTATGTATGTATGTATGTATGTATGTATGTATGTATGTATGTGTATATACACATACAACAATGGTGTTGCGGCTCGCTGACAACACCAACTGGTCCGTTGATGAATATTTGGAAATGGATTCTTGATCTGTCCTAAACCGTCGATGAAGACGGGCGCTTCACCAGCCACGCAGGCACCTCTCCTCAGGCCAGAGCCCAGCCGCTCTGAGCTGCTTCTCGGTGCGTCGCTTCAAACGCCTGACCGTCATGCATCCGCCGTCAGGGTCATATGCAGCAGCTCAAGCAATATAAGGAAACAAACCACAGAAGCGAGAATCGATGATTGATAGTGGTATAGAAATAGGAGTCGGAATATTGAATAATATTGAATATATATATATATACAGCAATTATATAGTAGCAATATGTAGCAATAGTGATAGTATGTAATAGTGATAGTGGTAGTAGTGGTAGAGGTAGTGGTAGAGGTAGTGGTGGTAGTCTTAGTAGTCGTAGTAATAGTAGTAGTAGTAGTAGCAGCAGCAGCAGCAGCTGTTGCTGTTGCAGTTGCTCCGGGGCGTTTAAAACAATCGTCTTAATGGCAACAACAAGAGCAACAACGACAAGGGAAAAGGAACAAAAGGACAGGGACAAGGAACAGGGAAACACCAACGAGAACAACAGCACTATCAACACGAAGACCGCCCCGAGCACAACAACCACAACCACATGTCAGACTGTCAGGAGCACCGCTCGTGCCCTCAGGTTCCCTGGAAAATACAGTACAGTATAAGATTAAACAAGGTTAATCTGTTCATGGATCCACTGACTGGGTAGGACCAACGACCGGCTATCAGCAATGGCAATAGCGACAGCCTTGCCTTTCTGCCTTTCTGCAACACCGAAGAGTCCAAGACAGGGACGGGCAACAAAGCGCTCTTGGCATGTCCAGAGAGTCTAATGACAAGCCAAGCACTCTTAGGGCATTGCTACTAGGGTGGAGGCACTAGCTCCTACGGTGGAGGCCATCGCTTAGGGTGGAGGCCGAGCACTCTTAGTGGACTACTGCCAACTTGTGCGAAGGGCCCAGAACCTCAGCGGTGCCCGCCCAGGCGCACCAGTGGTCGAAGGCGACCAGCACGACAGTGCCAAAGGCCATTGCCACCTGCAGTTGCACCTCCAGCCGAGCAACGCGGTGCTGTGACCATCAAAGCACCCACACTTCCTCAATGTCCAATGCCCAGCCTAATTTTAATATCCAACCACTTTCGGAGTCATTACTTAGTGTACTGTATACGACTGTATTTACAGTGAATGCACTTGAGGACTTTACACAACTGGGATGACCAACCACAGGCATGTCAAACCCTGGACCAGCACAGGTTCCTCTCCTGAATTCCAGTTCACCAAACACTCTTATCACATCTTATCACCTCTTATTGAACGAAAAAGGACCCCAAACTCTCCTGACGCAGTGTGATTTCTGTCCACGAGTTCAACTTTACTGGGAGAATCCGATGAAATCCCAAGACCGGTCCGAGAAACCAGCGATGTGATGCCATAGCTCTCCAGTAGGCCATCGACATTGGCTTTGACGTAGTTCCTCGGCCAAACATATTTTCCATGACTGAGTACAAACCCGATCCCAAATCCCAAAGCCTTCGACTTGACAAAAGTCACATGGATGGACCCTGTGCCTCTGATGTTCAACCTGCTATCCAACGGTAAACTCTAAACATATCAAAACCATTCCAAAGTCTGGACTCTAATCAACCTTCAAAGGACTCACACGAAGCTTCACACCCGTGCTCCTCAACAAAGGTAGTATGTCAAGATTCTCAAAGCTCTTCAGTCAACATGGAAGACCTGTCTCTGACTCCCTGACCTGTCCGGTGAAGATCTCCGATTCCCCAAGCCGAATGGTTCACGCGCACCAACGGGAGCAGCGTTCCAAGGCACGCCCAAAAGCCCATCTGGTCGAGCGAAGACATGGCACGCCCATCGGTCATGACCCAGCAGCACGGTTGTTACTTGCCGCGTAGGACCGGCGTTCCACGGTGGGGAGGGGAGTTCATGTCGTGCGTTCGTCTGAAAGATCGATTGAGCTTCAGCCGATGTCAACCCTCTGCCCTTTCAAAGACCTAAATCCCGAATGCTCCTTTCAAGACATGCGCCATCTCTTTGCTGGTTCGCATGGTAACAGGACACTGCGCTGAGTAATTAATTGGTCTTGAGTTCAACCTGCTGGCACGAGACATTACAGAACAAATTCGCATGCGGTAAGGCCTTCCTGAACGCCCCCAACGCCATCACACACCCCGCGCCCAGCTATGCTAACCCCTGCCACTTGGACTGCTGTGTTTTGCCTTTCGAAAAAGGGTGGCGCCCGTCCTCACGAGCATTGCTCTGAAGCCACACGGGGCAAGAGAATCCTTCATCCAGAGGGTCATATTTATTGTGCAAACTGTACCGAATTATGGATCCAAATGAAGCTGCTCCCTATTCTTCTTCTGGAACCTCGAAGAGACGCAGGAGAAATATGACGTCTGGCTAGAAGGAGGACGTAATGGGGTCCTGCCACATGTGGCCGACAACAGCCCCAAAAAAAGCGAACCAACTCTCCTGCGATTTCTTGCGGCTTTCCCGTATCTGCAATTTTCCGGACAGATCTGGCAGTGAAAGCCGACAGTTGCCAGTGGACTCATCTGCGGCCAGGACATGCCAGGACCCCATGGAACTTAAGAAATCGGCGGAGGAGGGTACATCGGAGGCCAGACGTTGGCAGTACGCTCAGAGAACCTCCACTCCAATCTGGTCAGTCGCTGCCTGAACAGCCGAAGAAATGCATGGCATTCGGCGGCACCCCAATGTGCACCCTCAGCATTGGGATCATTGAAAGCTCGGTTGTGCAAGCGAATTGGTTGGTGGTTGTTTCTTCTGCAAGTGCAATTGAACACAAACAACCCATCCGCATCTCCAAAACTTAATTTGCTTGGGCAAACGATCGCCGGTGACATGATGGGCGGCGATCGACACTCCAGGCAACATGACATGTTCATCCCCGCAACTTTCACTCTTTGCCCCACCCTGTGCCCCCAAAGCCTTGAAATCAACAAGCACCATCGTCCATTACTGCGACCGTGTTAAAATTGCATGCTTCAAAACCATGCTTCAGTCCTACAACTCCATCTGCTACATGGCAATCGTCCTCGCCGCGGAACTCCCGTCGTCGCCTGGTCTCACTCATCGCCTGGCCAAAGGCGCTTCAGGCGCAAGTGCCGCAGCCAGGTTTGCTTCGCCTCCAAGTCTCAAGAGTGGGTCGAACAAATAGTGATATGATATGATATGTATATATATATTACGTAGTAAATTATATATAATATATACTATTATACTATATCCTGTTATATTATATTTAAAAATATATATATAGTACGTAATATGATCATATGATATGATATGACGCTATAGTGTCCTTGCTCCGATCGTAGCGATGCCCTTTGTTACGTGCGTAGCGATGCCCCTTGCTACTAGAAGCTTCTTGTTACTAGTAGTAAGGCCAGGAGTCTAAAACTGCCCTCTTTATGATAATGTTTTTGGTTGTCTAGGTCTCTAGACTCCAGTGGTTGTCGGGAGGTTTCTTTGAGGTTTTGCTGGAAATGACAGTACTGAAACAAACAACTGGTAGTTTGTTAGAATCAAACACGTATTCCTTCTTTGGAAGAATCACCTCTAATAAAATAACCTTCTCACATCCTTTTCAAACACTCAACAAGAAACACTCTGCAGCTCTGAACAAGTCACAGGTGGTCAAGGCGCCCATCGCCTCCGACAGACTTTGCGCCGGCGTCGCTGCGACTGGGAGCCGCAAGACGGCTTCTTTGGCCTCCAAGAGCCTGGCTTGTAGGGTCAGGCCACGGACTGAAATATGTCCCATGGGTGAAGTGGATGCATTTTTGGGGGGGTTCCCTTTCAAAACAACAGTTTCTCATAGTTTCGCTATGTGTCTCTGTTCTTTGAGTGTTCCAAACTCATACTTTGACAACCCCAAATTCGCCTGCATAAGTTGCATTCAACTTCCTAAGTTGTCGCTATGCGAAGCCAATGCCGCCGTGAAGCCCACCCAAAGAGAAACGCTTATATAACTTGATCGATCGTCCTTTGGGAGGTAATCGTCCTTTAGGAGCCTCACTTCCAAAAGTCCTTCCAAACTCTACTCCGGTCTACGTGCAATTTCATGAATTCCCAAGCCGGACTTGGAGAGGAGAAGTTGACCGGCGACTCTGAAGTCGCCATCCTGGACCAATACCAGGATTGACTCCCTGAAGACCCGAAGAAGCTCCCTGGGCCATGCAGGCCTTGAAAAACCGTGGATGGCACGACTGGGCACGAACCCCTCAGCAAGGAGATCGGGATTCTGGACCTCCCTTGCTGTGATGAATTGTGATCAAGGTGATGCTGGAATGGTCGTAAATAAGAGTTGTGATCAAGCACTTCCTATGCTCCAAATTGATCGAAATAGCAGTCCTTGGTCTCTCAGGATTCGGGGCCAGAGTCCTGGACAGTTCAGTCGCCTTCCAGGACCCCTCAAGCGGTACTGGCAGGGCAGCCTGGGTGCGAACAGCGGTTGGGGTTCACCAGCGGTGCCTCCCAGAGTTGGAACTTCTTCAGGACAAACAATGAAGCTTTGAATCTACTTACTGCAGAAAGTACCTGTAATTGCTGCTTGCATCTACTTGGTATACTTTTATGGCTCACAAGACCTGCAAGGGTATGAGAATCGATGTGTTCATGCTTGGTCCAAGCATGTTCCACAATGGCAAAGACCTTCCCAAATTCAAGCCCAAGAGGCACCACAACGGTTGAACCAAGCTTCCAAGATCAAGGACGGGACTGTTCGTGAGTTCGTGAATGCTTCATGGTGGTGTAGGTCTCTCAGTGGCCAATGAGGAGATCTGGGCTTGGGGGTACCTACAGTATCCATCAGTATCCTACCTCCCAAAGCTGGGTTTTCCAATGAGTCAACATGCGTTCAGGCCGGTCAAACACCGGGAACTTCCCAGAACACCGCCCCAGTGAGGCCATCAACAAACCGTAGTCACCCAAGTTGCGGAAGATCAAAACTCGCTCAACGTCGATCAACATGAACTTGACCTGTCACCTTGTCGAGTCAGTCCAGGTCGAGTCAGTTTAGGTCTCTTTATTGACACCTGCATTATGCCACGACTGGGAAACCGTGCAGGGAACCAATGCACAGCCGCACGAAGAGCTTGGGTTGAAAGACCTCGGGCGAGGTGAAATGAGAATGAAGACGTCAAAAATGGTCAAACCAAAGCTCTACTCAAGGTCCTATTGTCTCCGGCTCAAGGTCCCATACAGTATTTACTGCTTCATTGTCTTGAAATCCACTTGTCGAAGAACCTCCTCCATGAAGAGCCTTATTGAAAACAAGCTTGTGTAAAAATAGAAAAAAATCAGAAGCCTTTTCTTCTGATATGACAGCTCTCTTTCCCACATTTCAAGGACTTGGATGAACCCCCGATGAAGGCCATCGACTGTGCCTCCAAATCACGAGGCTTGCTGATGTTCCCCGAGCGTTCAACTTGTGAAATGCAAGCATCTGATGTTCGGACCAAATACTCAAACCCAGAAGTTCATAAAGATGCCAAATACCCAATATACATCCAACACACATATTTCTCCAGAAAACCACGGACTGGTCTCGCTGGCAAGCCCAAGTCCGGATCGCCATGGATCGAGTACTTCTAGACTTTTAGACATAATCCATCATAAGAATCCACTAGTTGAGGAGCCCTTTCACCAGGACTCTGCACCTTTCACCAGAAACTGCGGCTCGGGGCATCTCATGACCGAGCCGCGCAAAGCAAGCCATGAGAGCTGATGTGTCTGACTTTTTGAAACCTCTTTAACTTCTGTCAACCATTTTTCGGAATTTGAACCATTCACACATGAGATATGACCTCCTGGAAAAACAAGCTCACTATGCCACTCAACATGAGTGCCCCGCATATCTCCAGAGCTGCACCTCGCACGGGGCCGAGTGTCAGCTATGACCCTATCCATTCATGGCAAGAAGAGTCTGATTGCCGAGCCCGTACGTAGATTCCCAGAAATGCCGAACTCCAATTGATAGATGTGTAATTCTTCAAAAAACGATTCTAGCCACATGGGGTTGACACTGGTGAGAATCGTCATGATAATCTGATAATCAAGTCATCGGCCAGAATGTTTGTGCTTTTTTACGACCACATAATCCACCCTCCACCACCCTCCACTATCCTCCACCACCCTTCCACACTCCCACCACTGTACAGTAGGTGCCTCACAACCGACCAGCTCTGCCATGGAGTCCATCCAGTCTTTGTAACCCACGAGGGTTTTCACCTTGGATCCATTCATAAGGAAACACGAGGATCCGCCGTAGCTTTCTGTGCCGGAGAATGCCGGAGACTCCTGCTGCACCAAACACCTCAATGACCGGTTGACTTTCCACCAAAAGCCTCTGGATCCTCAGGATGGATGTCAGCTTGCATTGTTTGTTGTGGCTTTCTGTGGCCAATCAAATCACATAATCCAATGTAGTTTCTGAAGCTCAGAGTATGTTACAATGACTCGGTCCTGATCCTGCTGCCATCCTGACTTCAAAAACAACCGTGGATGTTGTTCCTCCTCTTAACATGTAACACCATTCCATTCCAACTCCAACTTCTCCACCGAAAGCGCCCACGCCTTCTAAGTTTCAGGAACTTTAAGAGTGTAAGGAGATTTCTCAAGCCTGTGGTACATGTTACAGAGTCACACCGCCAAGCTGATGCTCTACTACCTGTCCCTTCCGCCATGCCACGTCAGGAGAGAGGCAAAAGTAGCCTGCAAGTTGAAGTGACTTCGGGGTGCAAAGAGACCATTTCGAGGGTACTGTAAACAAAGACTTGGGAAGATAGTTTGCGGGGAATTCCAAGAGTGTGTGTATATATGTAACTATTGTATATATATATACACAGTAAAATAGACATGAATAGACATGTTCGTGTCTCCAACTTTATGTGAAGAAAACTAATGTTTTCTTGTATGACTTCATGTTAAACTCATAGTATGCTCCAATCAAAAGTTGATTCCACCAACACTTGATTGGCATTCCAAGAAGTTCACTGCGAACAATGCTGGGCCTGCAATTAAAGATGATCCGTTTCACGTTCCAACTAAATTTTGGCGACCATTTGACTGGCACCTCTCTTCCGTGAGATGGTACTTGACAAATAACGGCAACGGCGGGGTCTCACTATCTTCATTGCCATGACAAGTGCGGTCCAGTGTTTGGACCCAAATGGTCATTCTGGGAGTCGTGCAAAAACTCTCTGATGAGAAGAGCTGTCTGCCCAAGAAAACGGGGTCGTCGACTTCTCGCAACATTTCCGAACGTTCCCGTGCGAGCGCTTCTTCAAGGAAGCTCCCGCCCGTGCTCCGGCGGGGGAGCTTCCTTGAAGAAGCGTGAGCTATTCTGCGTCCAATTACTGGAAGCGAAATAGTAGCTAGTAGCTTACTCCCTGTATTGAGTAGGCACCTACTTAATTAAGGTTAATTAAGTAGGGGCGGGCTTTCAGAAGAAGGTGAACCAAGAAAAACTCATACAACACCTGTCGCAAAGAGTCCCGTTGGTCGCCCCTGGGTCCTTTTCGACACCCAACCATCCCTCCCGATGCGACCCAAGAGGCGTTGGTCCAAGTCATGATCCTCAGAGGTGCGCCGCGCCAGGTCCTTGGGCCTTGGCTGAGGTGACTTTGGAAGCGGAAGGTTTCGATTCCTTCGAAAGTCGACAATGGTTCTTCTTTCGCGTTTCTGTCACTCTACGTCGTTCTACAGTTTTGTGTCTGGGGTTACATGATCAGCCATGTTTTCTTGCGGATTTGAAATCACGATGTCCTGCAGAAAAAACTGTCACGCTTCTAGACTTGCTTTCGTCACTAGCAGTTCTGCACCCGAACTCTGCTGCGGGCTTTGGTAGAAAAAAATTGAATGTCGACGTCCAATTCTGATGAGGAAGCGCTTTGTTTGATGATGCTGCTTGAGAGTTAGATAGCCAGGTGCTGTGAAGATTTTTGGTGGTTGAAATCAGAAAGTAGGATTCCAGTTTTTTCTGGAGTCCCATTGCGCAACACATTGAGAGTAGACTTGAGGGTGACATTCCTGCTGCAGCCTGCAGCTGATTAGTCAACCTTATTCTCTCAATTCTCATGACTTGAATGAATCAAAGCCCAGTGACAGTACATACAGATACGACTACCATAGGCCCATGGACCTACAGCACGTAACCATGATATAACTCAAGGGTGGAGATACATGGAGATACCATGATTTCTTTGTCCGTTCTCCAATGAGACTTTCAGCGGCTATTAGGTGATCCAGGACTCAGGAGGACCTGCATGATTTGTGCAGGGAGTCCAGTCCATCGGTCCATGACACCACGGCTGATGGACCACATGCGCTAGGCACAGTTCCTGAATTCCAACGACACAGCCGTCTCGGGCGCTAAGCTTCTGGCAACTGTCTTTGCGAGCTCAACAACAGTGCCTTAGCTGACAAATTGCAGTGGTGCACCATCCTCGACCTCAGGAACAAAACACCTTTCATATCTGAGACCTATATAACTCCAAAATGGACATACTGCATTACTGCACCTCGGTATTGATCATCACCTCTTGAAGCCAACTTGAAGCCAACTATATGTTGACCTGTCAGCCTCTCAGCATGAATGAATAAGACTAAGATGGACTTTGGATAGTGCAGAGTGTTTAATAGGTGTAGGGGTAGATGCTGCTCAGCAACAAACATCTCCCGGCCCTAAACCGCAAAAGAGACATTGCTTGTCTTCTCCTGGGAGTTCATTGATTTCTAGCCGCAGCAAGAGAACCCCAAACAAAGGCAAAGTGCTGCCAATGTTCTTAGCGCTGCCGCATCCGGAATCCTCTTTGTCTCGCACTTTGCGTGATCTATGGTCCAAACCTTCTCGAAAAGCCCTTGCCAATACTGGAGGGTCACCAATCCCCACCAAGCTCCATTTTGGGGTGCCATGGTCGTAGCTGTCACGTCTTTTCCGCCCTGGTGCGAAGTAGCGGGCCGCCATCTCAGCACAAGCCTCGACAGGAACACAAACAACTAGAAGCAACATGTTTGGACCATTAAGACCCTACAAGTAGATACAAAGTGGCTGCTTTCTTTGAAGCATGAATGTTTCTGATTGTTGGGATGTCCAGCTGATTAGTAGTCTGCACTTTGTATGTCCTATGAATAACCTTGTCTTATGTAGTCTTCTGGTGTGATCCAAACGCCTCACCGCCAGGCAGTGGTTTGGCGTACAAACAGTGTCTAACATCGCAGGCCAAGCTTAAAGGCAGAAGAACATGTTTTCCTGGACTCTCTGGTTGGGGATGTCGAATCCTCAATGGTATTCTTGCACCTGCCAACACATTCTCAATGGTGCCACTACTAACCTGGCCCTGCCTTAGTCCTAACCAGGTCCTGTGTGCATCAATCCTTACCATGAGAATCCACATTCCCTCTGATTGGCGGACCCATGAAGGCTTTTGGGAACCCTCGTGGGCACCTCAACTACACGGGCAAACACAACAATGCAGGAAGCCGTGTTAAAGGCCAACTGCTATTTTGTGTTGCATCTTCCTCAACGCTGGTTACCAATTTACCAGAAACACCATACAACAATACATAAGCTTAGGATAGCTTAGGCCCGTAGGATGGTACTTTGAGGCCAGTTGCAAGTATGTTTCTTCCCCAACCACGCTCTAACCCAGGCTCTAAAGAGGGCGGCTTCACACAAAAGTTGCTCGCAGCTTGCAACCAACCACTGTCACCGGCGCTTCGCTTACTAGCGTACAAAGACCCTCCATCTCCAAGAAGCTGGGATCCCTCCAGTGGAGGGCCGAACGAAGCCGATGAAGGCCATGCTCCGGCCGATCTGCCAAACATCGAGGAGCCGGACGGAACACCCCGAAATTCTCGAGCGAAACTCCTTGAAACATCGGTGCGTCTCTGTGTGGGTCTCAGTAGAAGTGACTTGTGCAGCTGATTCCGGTTTGCTGCTTGCATCATCTCCGGTCTACACTTGTCTTCCTGGTGAGGAGATTATCGTTTGCGGCCGTCGTGAGGCAGCACATGAACTGAATCGTCAGATGGTCCAGGATCGACCATCACAACCTGCCTGCGGGTGAAAGACATGCTTGAAAAGCCGGCGCACGTTGTTGTCGGGCACTTGGAGTGGAAGTCCAGTGTCACCTTCGGTCGGAAGTCACCCTCAGTCCCCTCTGGGAATTTGAGTAAAATTTGCTGGTACCCTATGTTCTGTGGGCCATGAGTATCTTGGATCATCTTGGATCTGAAGCCATTAAAAATTATCACAAACATTTCCGGGTAAACGAGCTATGCTGAAGCTGTGAAGCAGTTCCAAGTGCTGAGCTAGACTTAGCAGGAACCAGTTTCGTGCTAAGGCTTCAAAAGGCCTAAAGTTCAAATAACATTCGGGCAAAACCTAACAGCTGGCACTGGAACAGCTGGCCAATAGCTGAGAAATGTATATACAAGTGTACAAGGCTGCTGAAATAAACTATGCTAGACAGTATGTGTGCATCCATGCATTACACATAAACAGGTCAGAATCCCAGAATCAACGATCCTCAGCGGTGTCTAGGTCGTCCAGGTCGGTCCAGTTGTTTCATGTTGATTCAGAGTCACTCATCATCATCATCATCATCATCATCATCATCATCATCATCTCATGCTCTTTCAGGGATTGTCCTCCTTCACTTCTGCTCACGAACAAACCGTGGAACACGCGACAATTCGTGTTCCACCTGACCGGCTGACGTGGAAACCGAACGTCGGTTTTGGGTCTCCGAGGACCTCCCGAAGACGGCGACACGGAGAGTCAAGTGCTAACCGTCGAACTCTGATCCGCACGAGCACTCCCTGCCTATCTCTCCCTTCAGGAAGGGGAACACGTCACCTGCTGGTCAAATGGGCACACCATGGCAGCGGGGTGGGATACAACACGTCACACCGCCGCTCTCGTTTCGACGGGTTTGGGATCACAGGGAGCAAGGACGCTACTAGGGGCTCCTGGCATCGCTACTAGTAACAAGGGCATCGCTACTAGGAGCAAGGGCCTTACTACTAGGAACAAGAAGCTAGTAGAAAAAATATATAAATTAGAATTTAAATTAGTAGTAAAGAAGGCTACTAGGACCTTGGCCATTGGAGCTACAGTATGTGCTGCGGCCAGCATACACTTACTTCTCTCGGGTGGCGAGCCCATTGAAGACAGGTCTCTCTCTCTCTCTCTGTGTATATATACATGAGTCAATTGAAACACCTAGGTCAACTGTTTAGCTTTGAGATGCTATGGAACCTTGAGGTGTCCTATGATCCAAGTATATGTGTCTTGCAGATGATTGAACCGAAGGGCACAGCCAGTGCTCTCAGCCAAGGTCCATCAGGATTGAAAGAGTTTCAACTTATATAATAGCGATGGCCTCCAACCTGGTCGTGGTCCTCAACAAACGATTTTGTACGTGACCCATCTTTATATATATATATATATGTGTGTGGGTTTTTCTGACTGTTCTCACTGGAGCTTGTTGGTCCTTCCCGGTCAGTGGGGCTCGCCGCTGGTAATCAGAATTTGGAAGAGTCAGAAGAGGAGTAGTTAAGTAGTTGTGTATCTGCAGATTCTCTGACAGAGCCTGAATAGAGTATGTCCAGAAATCCCCAGTCGTCACCCTTGGATCGCAATGTGACAGTGCTGAAGACCTCGAATCTTTTAAATAGATCTGGAAGGTTCACGGGCACCAGGTTGACTTCGTGATGAGGAACCAACCACCCACTTATATATGTCCGCGAACGCACGGGCAAGACCAAACGAGGTAGGTATTCCTGTTGCACAAGTATCTCCAATCTAAACGGTTTCGTCTAATACCTCACTGATTGCTTGAAAAAACGGTGAGTGGTGCCCAACAAATGAAGCGACGTCAGTTCTCTCTCCCGACATGTGCTCATGGATGCCAGTCCGACCACTGGCGAAGCCAAGTTGCGATAGCCAGTGCAAAGAACCAGGCAGTCGCACGTCACCGTGGCGCCATCGCGGAAGATCACCGAGTTTCCCTCAAGGCGATCGATGCCTCGATAGGGTCTGGCTGAGCAGTAGGGTCAGTCTGTGGTCTGTCAAAGAAAAAGGTTCAAGCGGGAGGTGGTCAGTCTGTGGGAGTGGCTCAATAAATTTGGATTCTTGGATCGATCAACACTCAGGCCGTATGATTTCATGCCCATGATCAAACCCAGTCAGTTTGGATTACTGATGAATTCTTTGGGTACCTTGCTTCTCTTTTTATAAACCAGAATGGCAAGCGCGGTGCCAAGAGGCACAGTCAGGCCCACTGCTATCCACATCTATCCACTATTCACATCGATTCACTTATAGTAACAAGTGCATCACTTCTAGTAACAAGTGCCTTACTAGTAGTAACAATGTTTGCTATTAGAAACAAGAAGCTATTTAACTTAATTCTAATTTATTACCTTTTCTGATTGTCCTTCCGACCGTCCCAGAGTTGCAGTGGAATGGCTGCCCAAGGGGCTCTGGCAATTCTGGTGCCTGCAGCTTCTCCCTTCACGGGGAAAGCATAGGCTTCATCAAGATCTGAAACAGGACCCCACCGCATGACGAAATCAGCTGAAGTGGTATACAGAGTATACAGATGTATACAGAACACATCAACCATCCCAATTCGTCCCACTCATCCTTTCCTGCACAGGGCCCCTTCCTTCTTGTTTTGGTAAACTTGAAAATAACGTAACAAATCATAACAAATCCACCTTGACGTTATCCCATCCACCAAAACCCCCAAACTTGGACGAGGCATGACGCACTACGTGCGACGCGCGGTCACTTACCAGGGGTCCGGACCCGATGGATTGGTTCGGATCCTCGCATCGAACAAGTCGAAGCCCCTCGTTGATGCGATCAAGATCTGAGGATCCTAATGTACAGTGCTCCAGTGCTCTGAATCTGAATTGTTGGGTTTTGTTGGGTTGATGGGAGATTAGGGGCTTGTATACCTACATAGTTGAACAAACCTCTCTTGATAAACATGTGTCAGTGTCATAGGATTCAAGCAACCGTCAAGTCAATGCTGAAAAATCAAGGATCTCGTTTTCCGGTTTCCTCGGTACTCGTATTCAGTTGAGGAAGCCTTGAGTACACAATAGAATCCTGCAGTACACGAAGGAAAGCCAGGAGACAGGGGCTTGTGATCCTTCAGGTGGCCTTCGGTCACTCAAGACACTAGAGAAGAGGACCCCCTTCTGGTCCATCAACAGCTCGTGCACTTCTAATCTAGATTGCATTTTAGCATGTCTGTGGGATTTGCTTTAGTAACGGCCCTACTATGGTTGTTGTTCTTCATTTGACCCATACTCACACAGCAACCGCAACCGGTTTAATACCAGCATGGCAGAAACTAAAGTATGTTCAGTGGCAAGTGGGGTACAGTACAAGGATCTACCAGGTGCCCCTTAGGACCTCCAATCTCTCCAGTTGAGCACTTTCTTGGCCTCTTGGAGGTAGCCACATGGCCATGGTGCCCTAAGTTTGGATGATTTGTTTTTTCGATCAACCGGAATCGATGTATTGAGAAACAACATGTAACAACATGTTGAATGTTGACATGTCTATCCCCATTCAACTGTAGATTGCGATCATTGACCATTCCTGTCTTCCAGACTCTCCTGCCACGTGCCACGTTCTCCATGAACATCACATTCTTGCACGCAAACCTTAAGGACTCCACCGCTGAATCGCGGTCGTCGAGATGCGTCGAGATGCGTCGATGTGATGGTCGAGTCCAGCCGTTGCCTTATTTGGAACACGGCTGGACCTACGCAAAGACTTGGCGGCGATCACGTTCCCGTATCTGAAGATACGTTGAGAAAGTCTTGGACGCATGCTTGTTGATTCTTATATACCTCCAATGTGCTTGATGGCTTCTTGGATGGTCAGGGCATGTGTTTGCATGTGCTTCTTCAAGGCCATCACTAGAGATGGCCCTTGACCAGAGCGGAAGGAGCAACTCAGGACACATTCCGGGTATCTGGACGACTTCGAGCGGTTGGGCAAAGCAATCTCTACCTTGCCTCTGACCCTCTCTTAACTAGAAAAGGACACGAAAAGGACAGGAAGAGGACAGGAAAGGACAGGAAAAGGACAGGCAAAGGACAAACACGAAAAGGACAGGAAAAGGACATTAGTTGTGGCGTCATGTTCGAGCACTCCTTGTCAAGGCTTCTTTGCGTCCTCTAGTTAAACCAGTGTTGTTTGACCAAACCTCGCGTATGCAAGGCTCTCTTTTGCTACATGGAGGGTAAATAGTGATACTCCTCCTAAACGCTCTTCACACATCATCCCACATCGGATCAAGACCTAACTTCTCTTAGATCCTCTCGAAGCTCCTCACGTGCAGGAACTAGAGTCCGCTTGCACTGCACCCAACTTTTCTCCGAGGCACTTCTGGCCTAGCTCCTGCTGCCCCGAACGGTTGCACCTCATGGCAAGACGGCACCACATCTGACACCTGTTTCTTTCGGAATAAAACGTGGTCATCTCATGTCATCTCAAAGCAGTAAAGGTCGGACGGCTTCAATCCTCCCAAAGGTGATTGTTCTTGTGCTTCTTCCTACATGGCCTTTTCAGGATGCTTCCCTTACCTAGAAGATCCAAGCTGGCTGCATTGTTTTAGTCTCAGAGGTCTGTTGTTGGATTCACTTATATACAAGTTGCAAAAAAAAACACAACAATGGTTCCAAGCATCTTCACACCGCACAACCACTCACAGTGTCACATGGTACCCTCACTTGAGAACCGGAAAACTGGCAAGAACCACTTGGCCCAGTCCTGGGAAGTACAATTCCAAACAATATCCCACCACGTGGGGTTGAGTTCCTCTGTCTTTAATTTTTCCTACATAAATATGTATATATATGATAGTATATTATATATATGTATTCTATCGTATTATACATATTTGTTTATATGTTATATATCATGCCCGGATTCTGGGGTGAAATCAAAATCTCTGTACCAAAGGATATGAACATAAACGGATAACACATGACAAGAAACAGCGCCATTGAACCGTGGGAATAGCATGTCACACAATAGAACACAAATGAACATACAGACTTTGTACACATCGCCAAAAACATGACAAGGAACCTACACAAGGGCAAACTCAGTCATTAATTAAGATGATTGGAAAACAGCCTGGAACAAAACAGAGAGTCTGGATTTTGTTATGGTTTTTCACACTTTCCTGAAGCTGCCCGCTTCCAAAAAGCCCTTTGGGCCACCCCAGCCAGTGGTAGATGAGACTGGCCACCTCCCAGGAATAGCGGGTCTCCTCAAACAGCTCGGCAGCCAGGGCTTGGTCAGGGATGCAACCAGCTTCACCAAGAGTGGACGGTACGCCGCGTATCAGGATGCAACCAATGCGAAACCAATTGTCATGGAGATTTGCCGACGAATCATCTTCATTCGATTTCGGAGACAAACATTTGGGAGACCCATAGACACAATGACATACAGTCAGTATACAAACAATCCACATCCACCTCTCAAGTGTCTCTTTGAACGTTTGGTCTAAGACCAGCTTTGAACATTTGAGTCGACTCTCCATCGATGGCAAAACTTCCATGGACAGTTTCTTCACCCGGTGACTTGATTCAACGAGCGGTTTGCCGTTTCACGTGGTCTTTCGGTCAGCCCGGCCAGTTTCGGTCCTTGTCCAAGTAGTTCGCCGAGGCATCCTGGTGAAATGCGTCTTCCTTGTAAGGATGATCACCTGCCGATCCCGCGAGTGGTCTTCGGTCTCGGCCGGTCAAACAAGCGGTTTGTCTGGTGGGAAGTTCTGGTTGCGGCGCTCGGGTACACCGGTTCAACACAAAGAAACCTGAAAATATACCACAATTCTCAGAGCAGCGCTCTTCCACCAAGTGGTCGATCATGGCTCTCTTCCGAAGTGTCATGGCTAGAATGGTCTATTGCTAAAGTCTCCTTGCAGTACTCTGATGCAAGGCCTTTGACACGTTGACCAGATTCCTGGATTGTTGCGGCCGATGTTATAAGACCAAGGTAGAACTTTAATTCAATGGTTAGTTTTGGGGTGCTATTTTTGGTTTTGACTCAGACCCAACCCCCCATAGTAGATACCCATAGACCTCCAAAGAATCGAAACTCACCCATGAACTTCCTGATTCACAAACAACACAAGCTTTTCATAGCTTTTCAATGTTCAACCTTTCTCAACCTCAATGGTCAGTGCCACTAACGGGCCTTTGGCTCCGCCTGCACTTAGACTCAGATTATTCAGAGGGCTGTTGGCTGCGCAACCCGGGCACCACCCTCATCGACCTATCAACGTCCAGCCAGTCTGGTATAGTCTAGTTGGACGTAAGGTCCAAAACGATCCAAACCTAGATCAGAAAGGCAATATCTCCTTAACTAATCAGAAAGGCAAACGCTTCATGACAGTAACACCAGTTGTCTTCACCCCTTTGTGGTGAGGGGGTGCTTCGCCCTGGCAGCGAGGTCTCTATAGAAACCCTCTGAAGCCTTCCGTCTTTGCCGCATCAATTGGGAAGAAGACCTCTTCACACTTCAGTCTTCGCATGTGTAAAGGGCCACACAAACAGAGCATGTCATCTCACCCAACCACTGGTGTTCTTGTTTCTTCTTGTTGTCACCCATTTGATCTCCTTTGTGCCCCAACACAGCTAGTAAGTATTCCTCCATGCTGCGCCTCCCCAAGCGCAAACCTCCAAAGAGAGATAGTGACTCCTAACCTCCTGTCCACTTCTGGACTTTCCGTCACTTCCAAACCCCAGTGTTTCTAAGGTCCTTCGTCCACCCGTGTCTGAAGGATTCGGGCTGGGCCCCATGTGCTCAAATGTTCTGATTTGAGCGGCAAGGCGGAAAAGTGAACAGTTCCAGATCTGGATGACCCTTGCTGCGCGATTCATCTGGACTAATGTCCTGGATTGATTGAAATCACAGAAGTCACCAAGAAGGGCCGGGGCATTGAAACATTTCCATACACAAATGCAGGTAGAGAACCAACTTTGTTCGTCTAAAAAGATATACTTTACTTCAAATGATCCCACTATACTCTGTTGATAACCGACGGCTGTATTGCTTCAACATCGCCAAGAAAGTGTTCTAGCATATATATAAATACCGGCATATACTTTGGCATTCTACCTGGCAGACAAATCAGGCATTCTATCTGTGCATTCTCGCATTCTATGTGGTATACATTGTGGGATTCTATCAGGCATATATGTTGGCATTCTATCTGGGATATATGCTAGCATTCTGTCTGGCACTCAATCTGGCTTACATTTTGGCATATATACGTGCATTCTATCTGGAATATATTATTGCATTCTATCTGGCACTGGCACATATTCTTTCATTTTTTCTGGCATTCATTCTGCCATTCTTTCTGGCACATGTTCTGGCATTTGATCTAGCGAAAACTCTGGCATTTATGTGGCATTGTTTTGCAGTTGTTTCTTGCGTCAATATATATATATATATATACTATATATATACATATATTCTGGCAGCATATCTGGCATTGTCCTGGCGTTCTATCAGGTATCAATTGAGGGCGGGTGTGCCCGGGAGAGCACATACTGGTTCAAAACCATTCAAAAACACTGTAAATACCATGCCATAGTTGTTCAATTTTCCTGTGCCCAGTGACAACAATCAACAGCTCGATCTTCGTCCGCGTACGATCAATGTGTAACACCAATGGCCAGAGCTATCAATTTATTGTAACCTTTCTTGCCCAATATGAGTGTGCCATGACGAGGGAAAACATATATATATATATGCAGATAGCTGAAATTTCTATCATTTATCATAATGATACAATTTTTGTCTCTTGCTAATTTGACTTTTGTGGGTGTGGTTTGAGGTGCCCGGCGCCCTTTTGCACGCAAACAATTTCTCAAAAGGGGGCCAAAGGGTCCCCTGCATTGTTTTGCAGTCATCTGTATTCATCTCATCCATAAAATCTTAGCATCTGCCCCTGCCCCTAAGATTGCTTTAGGGGCATTGGTAATGTTGTCAGTCAATTGCGTTGTATGTTCTACTTGCCCCTTCACCACCAGTAAAATACATATTTTGGTACGTTAACAGTTCCAGTTTTACTTAAACTACAAAAAAAATTTAGCTGTTCTTCTTGAATATGCAATGGTCATTATCACAAGTGTCAAAGCCATTGCTTTTTACATTGCCCCACGATTTAAGAGCCTGAATGGTGCCTCTAACAAACAAATTACCTGCTGCAATATTTATTATTATACAGTTCTCTATCAACTCAGTGCCAAAAATATATCTGAAGCTATCACTACCACCACCAGCATGAAGTTTCAGGTTTTTATTTGCTCCATCGTTCTTTTGCATAATGTCTAGTATAACGCCTATCACCAAAGTTATTCTGCTCTGAGCTCTGGTGCAGTATAATGATAATATTACTTGCCAACATTGCTACATAAATCAATGCACCATTAACAGTGAGTCACCTTTGCGAATTTGTGTTCCTTCGATTGTAAAATAACCTGCTGTGTTACAAATCCTGACACCAGCATCAGCAAAACAAAGTAGTTTAACCTCATTTGTTGACCTGCTCCACCTAAATAAGAAGCACCTTAAACCTACGCAGCCGTGCGAAAAGAACAAGGAAGGTTTATTGAATAAATACTATACCACTTACCAGGAGTGTCTGATGTGCGACGCATAGATTCAGAACTCGTAAAAAGTATACAAAAAACCAGCAATAACAGCGCTTGAAACAAAATGAGCGCAACATCTAATATCCAGGTTCTATAGTAACCTCATTTCGCCTCAAACATGTTTTGGCTTATTGCTTTTCATAGTATTTTGGGCATTCTCTCTAAACCTTTGTAGGCCTGGTCTGAACAAAGCTCTAATAAAATTTAACTCAAACTAGCTCAACAATAGGTTTTGGTGTGGGCCTCAACTCGCTGTAAGACACAATGTCTTTGCTGCGTTTTTGCACAAAAGCATCTCAAGAGCGCCCGTTCTGGATAACATCTGGCATTCTATCTGGCATAGTTGCTGAGTTCTTTCTGGATCTTCTGGCACTTAAAACCTTCTATTTAATTGGTTCAGGTCTGTGTGCCCGCTGCGATCTAGCGCTCGCGGTTCAGGTCCGGCAGTGAGCGCCCTCGCGATTGAGGTCCGGCTTTGAGGTCATCAGTGCCCACTATAGGATCTGGCACTCGTGGTTGAGGTCTGGCAGTGCCCACTGCGATCTGGTACTTGTGGAGGAGGCGAGGAGAGGAGGAAGAGGAGGACGAGGAGGAGGAAGAGGAGAGGACAGCTCTGATAAAATCTAACAAAACCCTCACCTTGCGGCGGGGAAAAATATGGCTATAGCTATAGCTGTATGAAAGTGCAAGCAAAACTTCTTGGATGATGCCAAATGTATGTTGGGTTAGTTAGCCCCTATCGGTTTTCAGGCTTGGGCTCCCCTTCTCAACTTCTTTTCGTTGACAAGACGGGTATCGGTGTAGGGTTGGTCCCTACCGGTTCTGCAGGGTTTTTCGCTCATTTCAAAACTACTTACATAAGGCAGCCTACGGAAGTTTTGTTCGATCCTCTTATGGGTAGAAACCATGGAACCCTGCTTGACCCCGAGAATGCATGAACTTGACAACTGGGGTGTCAATCTGCTTTGGTTCTGAGTCTTTAAAAGTGACCTGCGCCCGAATCAAAACACCATGAATTATGCCTGTGTCACAGGCCTGTGTGGTGCATTACGTGGGTGGGTGTCTTTGAAAGATTGGTTTTCGCATGAGCCATCATGAGCCAATCGTTACCTGTTCTCCCAACTTGATAAAGTTGGGACACTTTGGCACGGTTCAAGACTATGCCTCAGCGTTTGTTGAGCTCAAGATACAGTATATGAAACGGTTTGGTGTCCGCAATCATACACAAAGCGGTTTGGTTTGCCGGAGATGAATGTGAACGCGGGTAACTACCCTTTCAACACCGACTCCACTGCTGGCAGACCCAGCCAATTAGCGGGTGTCCTCTGTTGAATGGTCGTCGTCGTGTTCTGATGCCCAAGGTAAGACTTGTCAAATATGACACCCCGCCCATTTTTCCGAAGACGACTCGTCTGTCCAAATCCTCGCGCAGTGGCATTTGCTCAAGCTACACAGCTTTGAATCATGCGATTGCGGCCAACTGAGACGCCAAGTCTAGTACTGATGTTTCACGCTTTCCAACGTTCACTGCTAGAGCTTGAGCCAGTGTTCAGTGTGGGCTGGAGTTTTCCTAGCCTTCTCAGACAATCATGGAAGCTTCCCATCTTCAATTGTAGAGTAGATGGGTTTCCTGAAGTGAGTGAGTCCTATGTTCTACTTCCATTATCGTTCGAGGGAGGTTAGTTGCTTTGGAAAACATGAGTGTTTCAAACATGCATCTCTTGCTGCCTGCTCTTAAAGCAAATATGGAAAACCACATGATTAATTCGGGGTGAGCGAGATGAGGACTTGCTCCAGTGTACCGAGGAGTGACTTTCCCAGCTTCTCCAGATTCTCCCGCTGTGTTTTTGCAACCTTGTTCAGGGTTGCAAAGGGGCTTGCGGGAAGGGAAAGCAACTATAGTAAGAAAGACACGTGAGGAAAGGAAGGAAGAGACAGAAAGGAAAGGAGAAGGATGCTTTTGGAAGGAACCAGGAACGCCGAGGAACTCGGAGGAACTGCAGTGAGGGGGTGTCATGCTGATTCCTGATTGTCTTCTCCT